TATCTGGTAAAATGGCCATGTACCGTGTGGTGGTGACCTGCCTGCCAGCTCCATGGATCACTTTCTATGTCGAGGTCCACGTGAAACAGAGCTGAGGATTTCTTTCCTCTGGTTGCAGGTATGCCCCAGGGACCTGTCCTTCTTTTCATCCACTTGGACACATTTTCGTAAATACAATATTTACTGTTACGCTGATGACACCCAGCTTTATCTGTCCACTAAACCTGATCCTGCTCTCCCCCGTACTCCCTCACCCTCTGTTTAGCCAAACTAAATTCGTGGTTCTCTTACAATTTTCTCAAACTCAATAGTAACAAATCTGAGCTCCTCCTGGTCGGCACTAAACAAACACTATTCACAACTAACAGCTTTTCTATTACAATCAATAACTCGCCAGTCTCCGTTTCCCCATTTGTGAAAAGTCTGGGTGTCACCCTTGATAGTACTCTATCTTTTAACTCCCACGTCAATGACATCACTGCATATTTCCAACCTTAATCGTCTCCGTCCTTTTCTCTCCCCACATGCCACTGCCATCCATGTTCATAGCCCGGTCACTTCCCTGATCGATTACAGCAACTCTCTTCTTTTTGGTCGTAGTCAAAAATCTGTCCATCAGCTTCAGCGTGTCCAGAACTCTGCAGCTCGTATCATCACCAGGACTCCTTCTATGCACCACATCACTCCTGCTCTGCAGCAGCTTCTCTGGCTTCTGGTTAAATACAGCATCAATTTCAAGACACTTTTGTACACGTTCAAGGCTACCCATATTCTCTCGCCTTTGTACCGCTCTGACCTGGTTCAGATCACCGTCCCTTTCCCCCGGCTAGCCACCGTGGGGCGCAGGGCTTTCTGCTGCTCTCCCCCCATCATCCCTTCCTCCTGAGATAAGAAACATCACTTCCCTCCCTCTTTTTAAGTCCAGACTCAAAACTCACCTGTTCACATTAGCCTATTCCACATAAATGTTTCCATCCTGCTTCTTTAATTTGTTTTATTTATTTGCTCAAAGTTTTATCCTCATTATTTTGTAAATTGTTATGTTTGTTGTTGTTATTGCTTGTGTACAGTGTCCTTGAGTG